TTTTATTTTAGCTACACATCTATTATCTCAACATTCAATGAGATAATAGATGTGTAGCTAAAATAAAAAGCTGTATATAAAAATTATGCTTTTGATCATTACTACAACGTCTCGCGATTGAATTCAAAAAAAAATTCATAAAAAATTAAAAAATTATTAAAATACGAAGTATATTTATTAGTCATCAAACAATTTGATGTTCTGCTTGAATCATTAAAACTGCTGGGAAAAAACTGACCAAAACAAGCTAAAAATTTGTAAAATGTAACAATTTTGTTTTTTTATTCACTTATTTTTGTAAAGTTTCAAAAAAACTAAAAATTATTTTTATTAATAATGACCTTTCAAATAATTATATTTGTACAATAAAAAAATATATACTGATATTTGTTGCGTTTGGCAATTTGAAGTTATCAAAATTGCCTTTTTTGAATAGTCTTACGAATGTAAGTTACTGATTGAAGAGTTTAGGTTCAAATAAAAAAAGTTACACACATATAAACATGTTTTTGTTCGCGTTGGTTGTTTTTTAAATATTTTTGTTTGATTCTTTTGGTAATTAATCAAAATTTTTCCGTTTGGATATTCAGTCTGTATCAGAAAAACTAGTTTTTGAGCCAAAAACGTGTTCCCTTCGATATGTTTCGCGTGGCGTGTTCCACGTAATCAAAATATTCCCTTAAGAAAGTATTTAATTTAATGCGTTGATCCTCTTCGTTAGCCTTCTCGTACTAGAATTCATTACAATGCTCGCAGTGTGCTTTCTAGTTTGTCCTTTTCATAATTATTTTTCTTACAAAACTATATAAAAATTTTGGTATTAATTAATATGAATTTTATTGCAAATAATTTCAAAACTTTAATTGGAATACTCGATTTTGATTATACCATTCTTACTTGATTCCAAAAGTATTTGATTTAATTTAAGTACTTCTATTGAAATAAACATTTTTCAATACTAATAAAAAATTAATTATGTCAGAAGTCAAGAAAATTCCTTTTCAGTTAATCTGTTTTCTTGTTGGTAGCGAAGGAAATAAATGTAAGTTGATTTTTTATCTAAAAATTATGCAAATTAACTTTAAATAAAAGATTTTGAAGGATAAAATTTAGAGCTAAAAACAGAAATGCATAATTAAAAAGATTCATTTTACAATGTTTCAGCGTGTAAGGATAAATTCTGTCCTCCAGGAACTATCTGTAGTCAACGAGGACCAATCGTAGCTTGCATACCTGAATCTTCTACAGGTTTACTTGCATCTAAAATTTTCAATAGTCAATCAAAATTATTATTATCTTTTTGATGAACAATAATTTCAAAAAAAATTGAAAAACTGTGCGAAAAGAAGTGGAAAACTTGCAATATTTTTTTGATAGTATCTTAAAGTTTGCATTTCAAAAGATTGAGTGATACTATTTAAATGATTTTCAATTATTCTTTTGAAACATTTTAGTAAGTATAGCATTTTTTATTAATGTGCTAACTGAGAATGAATTTCTTATCAAGTAAAACAGTTGAAGTAACTCAAGAAAGTGATAAAGATATGATTTGAATATAATTAAGGTTCTCAAGCTTTTTTTTAGATACGAAAAAGACGAGTTCACTTGCAAATAAGTTTTAGATTAAAATATATTTGTACTAATAAGTTTTGAACAAAGTTTTAGGTTGCAAAAACCATCCACCATGTCCATCTGGTCAAGTTTGTGTTGAAAAAACAGTTCCTTGCATTTCACGCTCATGTCCAAAAACTGCAAAGTGCGCAAAAATAGGAAGTAAATACAAAGTTTTGTTTCTGTGAGCTGAAATTTTTCACAAATTTTTAACTCTTCTTGGAAAATTATTCAAAAAAATTACTGTAGAATTATTTTGGAGAGGCGTATGTAAAACTTAATATAGGCATTATTTATTATGGTTATTTGAAGAATTCAAACAGAAATATTCAAAATGCATAACTTTCAATAGAAAGAAATAATTAATATTTATTTCGAATTATTTTAGTCAAATTTATAAATGCAATTTTAATTTTTAGTATATTGAACTGTGTAACATTTTATAATAATTAGTAACGCTTATCTTGCAACAATAAATAATTTTAATTTTTGCTAAAACATCATGATTCTTTGAAAATAAGTAGCAACTGATTTTTTTAGTATTTAGAAGCTAGAACCTAGCTTAATCTAACAATTGACATTTGTTTGCTTCCTTCCACAACTAAACTCTTATTACCATAATTTTCATTTTAAGAAAATAAATGTATGTTGAAAAATTAGGCAAAGAGTTACGTTATTAAAGACAAATATTCAATTTAAAAATCAAAAGTTAACTTTTTAAAAATACAAAAAAATGATCGTTTTGTGTATAAATAATATTAATTGAAAATATTATCATTTTCTGAAAGTTATATTCCTTCAGGATTTTTGTAAATTTGCATATTTATGTAAAATATATTGCAGCATGTGATGCATTGCAATGTCCACCATCGCATAAATGTGAAATGAAACCAAAGCCAACTTGCGTACGAACAATTCTTTCAACTTCGTCTGCTGTTAAAGAATAACCCCAATTATAGTAATCTTTACTTTTTACTTTTTTAAATATCAAAGAATTCACATGCTGTTTGTAATTACAGAAATAAATATGTAGCATCAAGTGAACCTCTGGTTTTTTGACATCAATTACCATTGTACCATTGGAAGTGATATTTTCATCAATGACAGTCATAACAGGAAAAGCAATTTATCACAGATTTCATGAGCCGATGAAAAATGGATGGTCAAAATTAAAAAATAACAACACTATATGTTAAAAATACTAGAAGATAGAGGTCAAAATTTTAATTTTTGACCTAACAACATGTTTTATTGTATCAAAACTTCTCGATACACTGCAGTTCTTCCATCTCTTTCTTGAACGATTGTTGTGTTGTAACGGAAAGGATTTCGACGATGCTGCGGTTGCCTTATCATAGGATATGATTTTGTGACTTCTTCAACTGCCTGAAAGAAACTTGATTATAATTTTTATCATTTTCTTAACTGAATTATCATTCTTCAGTGATAATTAATATAGCAATAATAATAATGATACTAATAGTGATAATAGTAGAATTTTCGTTGTAAACATCATTTTTGTGTACAACAACTATGCAAGAAAAACACAAACATCACTGATTACTCAAATTGTTTAATTTAAAATATAACTAAGTTTTTGTAAAAATAAATATTAAATAAGCATTCAAA